CGGAGCCGGGGACGGACGCAGCCGGGTCGCTTCTGCCGCTGCGCTCGGATCCTCGCGGGCGCCTTGGTTTCGAACCTGCAGCGGCCACTCGCTCTCGTCCACAGAGTCCGTTCCGTCTGCCTCCACGGTCTAATTAGGCTTGTGAGATGTTCTTCAGAAAGAACGTTACGCGCACGTTTTGCAAAAAAGAAAGTGCATCTTTACAATGTGTCGGCGAACGGGGCGTTCCTCTTTTACAGAATGTGCGAACGTGCACTTGATGAGTTGTAAAAGTTAATGTTTAATTGTTAAAGTTGCACGTGTATTTTGGAGTGTTTGGGTTTGTAAAAAGGGCTTTATAGTTCCTTACACTCTCCAGTTATCCTTGTGTAATTTGAGATTACTTTATCAAATATTATGCTGTGATACACAGTTTAGTTGTGGAAGTTGTAGAAACACACTTTAAAAGGGAATAAATTGTCTTTCTTTTGACAAGACGCAATCTGACTAGTTTTCTTGACGTCGAAGCTGCTGTTGTAATTGTGAAAGACAGTTTCTCTTATGTCTTTGTGAAGCAGGATTACTTTGGTAAAGTGTGTGCGTGTCATTTTATGCAGCAGTTTGGAGTATCTTGGCATGCAAGGACGCCTTATGAGTTAAAATTATGAGTTGTGTTACTAAATGCAAGTTAAGTTTTTGAGAAGGTACTGCAGGCTTTTTAGTTTTGGAGACTGCCAGCTTCTGGATTCTGTTTTCACTGCAGCAGTCAGGAGAAATGCCCTAGCAGTCAGATTTCCATTCTTTTTCCAGCCTTTGGAGTAGTAGGAGGATTAAGTCAAGTGCCTGGAGCCGAGGAAGAAGGAAGCCTCTTTGACTGCCTTTCACTTTCACCCCTTTTCATTTAAAGGTGAGGTAGACTAGTAGTGCCAAAATTACTCGAATTCCAAACCTTGGAAAATGCTATGGATAGCATAATATCACAGAGATAGATTAGAATCCGAAAAGAAAAATCTGAAGTGGGTTTTTAAGTTTTTGTTTGTTTGTTTTAAATTTCTGTTGATTCTGTAGTTTAAAGGGAAATATTTGTCTTCCCAACTTGTCTTTTTTTTGGGTTTGGAGATCCAACTCAGGACCTTTTGCTTGCAAGGCAGATGGGGTGCCACTGAGCTAAATCTCTGTCCCTGCCATTACCTTTTAAAAGGTAAAGATGAGATTTATTTTGATGCAGGTATCAAACCATCCCTAGAAATCAACAATTGAATCCAACAGTTGAATCTTTTCAAACAGGAAACTTTTGAAAAGTGGTACTCTCTGTATCTAGTTTTGGGATTGGGATTTTTGATCTATACCAAATCAGAGTAAGAAATTGGTGGTTGCTGGTGGTGACCAGTAACCCTAGAATCCTAGGCAGTTTGTTGATGGTGGATTTTTCCTTTACTTTTTTGTTACGCAAGTTAGAAAATATACCAATTCAGTGTATACCCATATTCCCGACATATTGATGTAAAGATCACTAGCATTTTGTTATATTTACCTTTTTTTTCATTTTTTTGTAGAACTACATGATATTTATTTTATGTAGTTTATATGTATCTCTCTCTTTTTTTTTTTTTTGGTAGGTGGGATCCAAATCGGGACCTTGTGCTTGTGTGGCAGTTGGCAGGCAGCACCACTGAGCTAAATCCCAGCCCTAGTATGTATCTCTTAAAAACTATACATTTATCTATAACCACAGTACTATTATTACATGACAGACTTAATTGTTTAGTGTCATCTGATACCCAGACCATATTCAATTTGTTTTTACAATTTTTTCCATGTAAATCAGAATCCAGAAAACATCCACTTACTGCCTTTGGGTCCAGATCTGTTCTAATTTAGTATTTCTTCCCTTCACCCACCTTTTTTTGAGACCATTGACCTGTTGAGGAAAGCAGATCATTTATACTCTAGAATGCTCTTTCTTTTTCGTTTGTTTGCTTTGTAGTATCATTCAGCAATTCCTCTAACTTTTTGTCTTTACTTGTAAATTGAGAGTTACAGGTATGGCTCCATTAGTGCATCTTGAGTGATACAGAGTAACTCACTTGTCATATAAGGATGCACATAATTTAAATAGTTTGACTCGATGTTAAAATTGATCAGTGGCTCAGGTTTCAAATTTTCTAATCAATAAACGTGTTTTGATAATTAGATTTCAAGTATATGTCTTGTTAATACTTCTTGTTATGAAAAACCATGTTTTGTGGGATAACTCTTCAACTACAAGGTATTTATGAGCTTCCTGTGTGCCACGCAGCATGTGAGGTTCAGTGAAATGGTGCTGAACAGGTATGTCCCTGCACTCGAGCTCAATCTTAGGGAAATCCTCGTTTGAACAGTAACTTAAGGAGCTTAGTACAGTATTTGCTCACAAACAAATGTGTCTGCTACTCTACTGGTTTTCTTTAAAAAACAAAAACAAAAACAAGGCTTTTTATCACATTGGAGAGGAAACTGCAACATTTTTTTCACATCAGTCCTGTAGTTTTAAATTCATTAAAAATTTTTAATCGCTTTAGGGACTATATATTACTAGCCTCTGGAGAAATAAAATTGCTTTCAGGAAATATAGATAGTTTGGAATTTAGGGTATTTAGAATTCAAGTGTGCTTATAATACTGTTTAGTTGCAAAATTAGAATGCATTGTACTAATTAGCAATCTAGAGTACAAGTCAGGTTGAATGAAAGGAGTCTTCTGGCGTTCAGTGTTTCATTGGGATTGTTTGAAGTTTTCCCGCCTGTCACAAGTAGTGGCAAATTAAGCATTCATACACAGTGTTGGGTATAATCACACATTTTATTTTTCCTGGGAGTATATATCTAGGAGTGGAATTGAGATGGATTGTACGGTATTTGTTTAATGAGCTTTGTTGCTCATCTAACAGCTCCTGCTCAGCCCACAGTCTCCCCTGGTTGTTACCTAATTCATGTTTCCATCATCATTTGTTGTGTATTCCTACACGTAGCCTAAGTTCCAAATAAGTTCAGTTGTCCAGTATTCCTATGCATTTTGAGTTTTCTCATTTCTATAGCTAGTCAGGAAATTATTGGAAATGCTCCCCCATTCAAGTTTTTCTTGACAGTTCCCTCACTCTTCCGTTGAATTTTGGCTCTGAATTAAACCCTCATTATTCTCCTGTGGCTCTTCACACTAGTGCCCAGTATCACCATTATTCATGTCTTTTTGTGTTACTCCTTACAGGCCTGTGCTGTCCACAGCAACAGGTATTAATCTATATGAGACTGTTTAAAATAAAAATTCATTTACCATATTTGAATAGCCCAGACATATTTCCATCTTTGCAAAAAATTTTGTTGCAGAAATTTCTCGCTTGTAAATTCAGAAGAAGGACTGTGGCACCCTCCCCCCTAACCTTTCTCTCTTTGTGTGCACTGTGCTTTGCTTTTCTTGAATTCAATGAAGAATATAAAATTAGATTCTAGTACAGAACAGAGAACTAAGTTTGGGAAGTATCTACTTCTTGGGAGATAATGATTGAACCATGAAAATAATGACTTCCTTGAGGGTCTCCACAGTTCTGATGCTGTGGGTCTCAAGAATGGGTTCCAGTCTAGAGGAGCAGAAATCTGCATTAGGCAATGTGTGGGCTCCTAACTGTGGGGAAACACAAAATTGATCTTCCTGCTTACTTGCTACACTTTCTGATCCTTGTTCATTCTCAGCTGTATGCCTGTACTGTCCACTACTATACAGTAGTCCTGGCCACAGGCAACTGAAATGAGGTACCTGAAGAATCTGGCCACCTATCTGAGACTTTGATACTCATTTTTGCCAAGTGGCTACCACATGGTATAGCACAGGTAGAATAGAACCTCATCACTGGAAGGTTTGATTGAGATTTACCACTTAACTGTAGTGTGGATAACATGGCAAATTTCGCTTTTGTTTAGAAAACGAAAAAAATTGGACAGTTCTTTAATGAGTTTTTTTGTTTGTTTTTGTTTTTGTTACGGGAGATTGAGAATCTTGCACTTGCAAGGCAGGCACTGAACTAAATCCCCAGCCCTTCAATCAGTGTTCTAAACACTAATTTTGCCGGTTTGTTTGTTTGTTTACTGTATTGGGGATTGAACCCAGAGCTTTCTCAGTGAGCTACATTACCAGTCCTTTTTATTTTTTATAAAATAAAAAACACCAGGGGACATTGTCTTTCCAAGTTGTCCAGGCTGGACTGGAATGTGAGATCTTCTGGCCTCATGCTCTCTAGATGAAATTTATTGCAGAGACTAAGGATGTGAGGTAGTATATTATGTATTTTAGACTGCTTGGTTATGAATATTCTGAGTCAGGTAAGCTGAAAATTTGAGGTTTTTAAAAATTTTGTTTTTATAATGCAGTTTGCTAACCTTGAATGTCTTTAAGATGCATGTGTGTTTTGGAAGGTGAGCAGGTAGTTGCCTGTTTTACACCAGGCGGTGGTATTTATTCTGGAGATATCTCAGACAACGTGACCAATGGCTTGTGATCTGCTTGCATAGGGCTGCATTCTCACTGGGGATGTGGAGAAGGCAGACACTAACCAAGTAAATGGATGAACATTTTATGGATATTTAAAATTTTTAAAAATAGTTTTTTTTTTTTTAGGTCAGTCCTAGATTCATAGCAAAATTGAACAGGAAGTACAGAGTTCCCGTAATCCCTTTTGCCCCTATGCAGCTTTTATTTTAAAGATCAGCTTAATTTTTTTAAAACAAAATTTATTAAGACACATAAAGCTGTCTCCTTTAAACTACTACTCACTTGAACACACTATTTGCATCATTCTTATCACTTTTTGAAGGTCTTTTTCTCATGAGTTTTTTTACCCACTCATTTATTTCATAGCTAATACAGATTAATGCGTTTCATTTTGGCAGATTTATATGTACACATAGCATACCTTCATCTTTTTCACCCTCACCCTTGACCCTTTCCTCCCAGCTAATTTCACATTTTGAGGAGGGTTTAATGTGTATTTTGTTCATGTCCATCTACCTGCTACCTTCCTTTACATTTCTCTTCCTCCCTTTTATTATTCTTGTCTAATAATAGTCCTTCCTCTACTTACCATCTTTTTGAGATTTCACATATTAGAGAGAATGTGTGATATTTGTCTTTCTGAGTCTGGCTTATTTTGCTCAACATAATGGTTTCTAGATTCATCTGTTTTCTTGGAAATGGCAGACTGTTCTTCCTTGTGGCTGAATAATACTGGAGTCTATCTGTCAAACTATATATCTATATCTGTATCACATTTCCTCCATCCTTCTGCTGATGGGCATGTAGGTTGCTTCTGCATCTTGGCTAAGTGTACTGTAAAAACATTTGTGTATGGTCATATCCTAATAGTATACTGTCTTTAACTGCTTTCACTTTGTACCAAGGAACGATAAAGCTGGATCAAATCAAATAGTACTAGGCCCTTTTTTTTTTTTTTTTTTTTTTTTTGAGGAACTTGACTTATCACCAGCAGTTTAGAGGAAGGTTCCTTTTTCTGCTGTATCCTCTCCAGCATTGTTTTTTGTATTTCTTGATGACAGCCATTCTGACTGGGGTGAGATAGAATATCACTGTAGTTTTGATCTGCATTTTCATAATTGCTAAAGATGTTGAAATTTTTTCTTAGTTTTACAGGATATTTGTGCTTCCTTTAGAAGTGTCTTTTTAATTTGATTGCCTGTCTTCTTTGGAGAACTGTCTATTAAATTTGGTTGCCTATTGATTGGCTATTTGATTTTTAGTGTTAAGTTTTTGAGTCCTTTCTATAATCTAGATATTAATCCTCTGTCAGAAGAGTAGCTGGGAAAGCTTTTTTCCTGTTCTGTAGGCTTTCTCTTCACCCTGTTATTTCCCTTGCTGTGCAGAAACTTTTTAGTTTATTGTAGTCTTATTTGTTGCTGTTATTTCCTGTGCTATTACTGGAGTCCTGTTCAGGAAGAAAGTCTTTGCTTATACCTATGGCTTCAAGTGTTTCCATTGTTTTCTTTTAGAAGTTTCAAAGTTTCATTTCATATTGATTTTTGTATAGGGTGTGAGAATAGGTTCTAGTTATAATCTTCTGCAAAAGGATATCTAGTTTTCCCAGCACCATTTATTGCAGAGGTTATCTTTTCTTCAATGTATATTTTGGGTCCTTTGTCCAAAGTTGGATGACTGTAGTTAGTGGGCTTATTTCTGTATCCTTTAGTCTATTCCATTGGTCAATATGTCTATTTTTGTGCCAGTATCATACTGTTTTTATTACTATGGCTTTGTAATATTATTTGAAATTGGGTATTGTGATACCCCTAGCCCTCAGTTAGGAATGTAGTGGCTATTTTGTGTTTTCATATAAATTTTAGGATTTTTTTCCTTTTAGTTCTGTGAAGACTGTCTTTGGTATTTTAATTGGGGTTGCATTGAATCTATATATCACTTTTGGTATTATGGCTGTTCTGACTATTAATACTGTCAATCCAAGAGCATTGGAAGTCTTTCAGTTTCTTTCTTCACAACTCTAAAATTTTCATTGTAGAGATATATTAGTCACCTTGCTCTTTCTTCACTGAGACCCTGACAACCACAGTTTAAAGGAGAAGTTTATTTTGGCTCATAGTTTCAGTGAGTTCAGTCCATGGTTTTCAGGCTCCAGGCTGAAAGATATGGAATATCACCTTAATCTTTATAGTCAAAGTTAGTGATTTACCAGATGAGGTCTAGTGGAAGCTCACACTTGAAGACACTGGATAATAAAATTCAGAGGAGCTATGGGTCAGAGATTTAGCTCAGTGATTCTGCCTCCTGCCTCACAAGTGCAAGGTTCCAAGTTTGATCCTTGGTATCCCTCCCCCCAATTCAGAGGAGCTTTCTGGGGATACTAATGAGAATCTTATTTTGGTTGGGAAATGGGTAGGATCATAGTTGTGCAATTCTTGAACTTCATGGAATAAAAGGATGAGTAAATGATAGAATGTTGAGAGTGGTTGGCTGCAGATAATTTATCTTTTTTAGAAAAAAATAACAAGTTACTTAAATTCAGAAAAGTATAAGGAACACTAAACCCATCTTATATTGAATAATTATTGTTCACATTTTTATGTATTTTGTCCCACTTTTTTCTGTTTGTGCTGGCGTTCCATGTGTCCATATATATGTATGCATTTGCAATCAAAGGAGGTATTGTACTCTACACTTAGCATTATATTATTCTTGTGTTTTTTCAACACTTTTTAAAAAAACACTGCCTGATATTCCATACTTTAAATATATCTTGCTTTACTTATTATTATAAGAATATTTAGGGTATTTTTAGAGCACCCCCACCCCATTTTAATAGCAATGTAGTGAATACTTTTTCCCCTATTCATCTCTGAAAGACAGGAGAGTTGAAAAATATTACAAGGTGCAGGTTTTGGCAACACATTAGGACGTTGGGTGTTCATTTTCTGTTCTCTGCTGAAAAAAAGTTGTTTTATAGCAGGCTAGGGATAGACTCTTGCTGCATACTCTTTTAGGACTGATACTGGACAAAAATCAGATCAAAGGTGCTTGACTAAATCACTTTTTTTTTTTTTTCCAGTTCTTGAAATCATGAATCCTGTCTATAGCCCTGGATCTTCTGGGGTTCCTTATGCAAATGCCAAAGGAATTGGTTATCCAGGTAAGCAAGTAGAATTTTGTTTTACTTATGGCACTTTGAATACTTGGTCTGTTTCCATGTCAGTAAAAACCAAATCCTAGCTCAAAGCAGTTTAGACAAGGAAGAAGCTAAGTCAGAGTGAAAAATCAGGACCAGATTAGCTTTGATCAAATCTTTATCTGGAACCAAAAAAACAAAACAAAAAACTTAACTGGTAGCTTCAGCAGTAGGAGCAGGATCTAATTTCTCTACCTCTTGGTCTTAGCCTTACTTCTTCCTCATTGTTGGCTCAGGGCTTGTCACAGACCACTCCTCTCTGCTGTGGTCCCTTAGATTAAGGGCTTGAGGGCAGTCTCTTACTAGGAGTCTCTTTATCTCTGCCCTATAGGAAAGCCAATTGAGGTGTCATGTTCCCTGCTCAGGCCAGTCCTGGGATTTGTCCTGATTAAATTCAGGACCTACACTGGACTAGAAATCCCTGCTGGATAGGAAGACAGAATAGGAGATCCTGCTTAGTGGACTTCAGCCTGAACCTCATTCCTTTCTCTTAGTGGAGTCCCTGAGGCCAACATGAGCTTTGGGGGTTAGTATGAAGCAAAGCCTGGGGTAGCTATTTGATTAGTACAGCTGATGGTTATCCTGTCATTGCAGGTTTTAATATTGTGGTAGAAGAGATAACCCTAAAACCATGTTGCTACAAAAAGTCTTAAAAAAATGGAATAAAACATTTTACAGATGTATGACTGAACTTAAAGGAGGGAAGAGAAATATCTGGGCCAGATGTGAAAGTGGCTTATTTGGCTATTGTGCTGGTGTTGTGCCTGTCCTGGAGGGATTTGCTCTTTGTATATATGTATATATATATATTTTTTTGGTACCGGGGATTGAACTCGGGTCCTTGCGCTTGCAAGGCAGGCCACCGAACCACTGAGCTAAACCCCCGGCCCATCTTTGTGGATTTTTAACAACCCACATTAGGACAGAATGTAAGGTGTAGGAATTGGTGGTGAACCTTGGCATGCATGCTGTGTTTTTCTCTTTAAAAGATATTAATGTAGAATTTTTTTCTTTAGAAAATTAATGTAGAGTTTTGGGTTTTTTTTAATGTAGAATTTTTTTTCTTTAATATTCTGTTTTAATTGCAGTGTTGGCACTTTTTGATAGTGGATTTAGAGCTGCAGTTTGGCCCTTAGTCTCTTAAAGCTTCACTGTCCCTGAAGTTGGACCTTTCGAGACAGGGAGTAAGAGTGGGTCCTTTTGTTTGTCAGTCTGGTCTCTAGAAAATGAGCCTCCCAGTGCAGACTGAAGAGTCCATTTGTGAGCCCTGTGAGGAATCTTGTATCTATGGGTTCTGAGAAGGAGGCAGTGTTTTCTAAGCATTTATAGCCTTCAGGGATGTTTGGGGTACTCGCTTGTATTACTTAATTGCTAGTGGGTACAACAGTTGAGAAACATAAAAAATAGTCATCAGCTAGCTTGTATGGTCTTTCACAGAAATTCTGCCTGCTCATAGGCAAATTATTGCAAACACGGGGTACTGTTTATCATGTAAAAACCTCCAGTCATGGCAAACTACATGAATGAAGCTATCAGGCAGAAGCTACATCACACAGACAAGTTTACCATAATTGCAAGTGTAAAAGAAGAAATAAGAAATGTAAGAGGGAGCAAGATCCTGAGGAAAAAAGAACCACCTGGATCTTAAATTGTTTAAAAAAAAAAAGCATTTGGACAAAACTCAGGTTAATTTGCGATAGAACACTGCTAAAGAAAAATGTAATATAAGGAAGAGGGGGTATATTAATCATCTTTTCTTTGCTGGGACAACTGGCAGCTTAAAGGGGACATTTAATTTGGCTCATAGTTTCCATTAGTGATCGGCAGAATCATGGCAGAAGGGTCTGGCAGATCAGAGCTGCTTAGCTGTAGGCAGTGGGGAAGCTGGGCTCAAGGGAGAGCGCCCTCCAGAGGTGTGCCCCGGCCACCCTCCCCCACCTCAGCTAGGCCCACCTCCTGACAACACATTCAGGGGTGACTCACTGGACCAATCTCCTGATAAACAGAGTACCCCCCTGATCTAGTCACCTCTAGGAGTCTCTTCATCCAGTATCCATGGCACTGGCACAGTCTGGAATGCTGAGGCAGGAGGATGACAAATTTGAGCCCAGCCGGGCAATTTAGTGACTTAGTGAGAATCTGTCTCAAAATAAAAAAGGCTAGCTCAGTGTGAAAGCATTAGGTTCATTCTCTAGTAGCACAGAAAAATTCACTGGCACATGGGGACATGGGAGGCTGGTAAAGAAATTTGAGGAGAATAGAGGACTAAGAGACAGGAAGAAAAGGAGTGACGGAGTTTACCAGATTGATGAAAGATAAATTAGTGGTGAGACCTATTATTTTTCAACTATTAACACTAGTGTAAGCAAAATATTAAATAGCTGAAGATGATCCTGAGTGAATCTGGGACAGGGAACAGCCAGAAATCAGTTATTAACATTACCTAGTAGGATAATAAAACATTGCTTGTCATAAACAGTTACGTACAAGGCTGTGGATGCCGAAATGTCTGCATTTTGTGCTGCTGTTTGGTCAAAGGGATGGATTAGCAAACTACATAAAGGTCCAGGGAGTAAATGTTTTGGGGGTATGGATTGTACAAGTACAGCACTCAGTTCTGCATGTAGTACAGAAGCAGCCTTTGACAATGCTCAGTGTGCTGTGCGCTTAACAAAGCTGAAAATGGTGGTGGATTATTGTTGTTTGCTGACCTCCCTGGTCAAGAGAACCACTTTTGTTTTTTTTCCTTTTTTGGTATGAAAAATCCCTCAGCCCTCTTATTTTAAGACAAGGTCTTGCTAAGTCACTGAGTTATTCAGGCTGAATTTGAACTTAGATCCTCTTACCTCTGCCTTTCCCAGTGCTGGGTTCATAGGTGTGTACCACTATGCTCGGTTTAAAAATTACTTTTAAAAAAAAATTTCTCTAACTTTAAAATGGGCTTTTATGTATTTTTTCCTTTATATGTACCTCTTTTTTTTTGGTTTTGATTTTTTTTTTTTTTGAGTCTCCCTGACTTTTATAAAATTGTATCAGCAAGGTCTCTGTGCAGTAAGCACTGCAGGTTCTTTAGATCAGATGGTCAGAGATGTGGACTTAGGTGCCTCCAGAGTCTTGAGGCCAGTGGAACTTCCATCCCAAAAGCTGACAGGATGTTGTGAGAAGAGAGAGTGCTTTCACTCTATTTTATACTCTGGCAAGTAGGTGGACCTGTTACCTTTCTATTCATTTACATTTAACACCTTCACCATAGGTCTGTAATTTGTAATTTGTATGTCTCGCTGCTGGGCAGCTTGAGTCACTGGTGTGGTACATGCATGACTTTCCCATCAGGAGGCTTTTGATTTATTTTATCAGTAAAAAGATTAATAAAAGTGATTAGATCTGTTTGTACCAGCAGTGGTACAAGATGCCTGATGGGACAGTCATGCACGTACCACCAGTGGAAATATGTTAATAGAAGGGGAAGCTCTTGGCCAAAACACATTGTTTTTTAATTATTGTAATTATTTATATAATTGAATTTTTATCTAGAATCCTGGTTATCTTAACACTGTTAATGTCTCTTTATTTTCTTGCCTTTTTTGGATTAATGAAATATTTTTCTTTAATTTTCCTTATATTAGATATTCTTTTACTATACCTTTAATGGTTATAAAGATCACAAAATTTTGGTACCCTGCTTTTCCTCTTACTATGCCATACCTTAAGACGTGACTTTCTTGGAGATGTTGGTACTGGGAATTGAATGCAGAGACTTCTACCACTGACCTGTAACCGTGCCCCCACCCATACTGGCCTTGTGAAAAAGTCTTGCTAGGTTGCCCAGGATAGGGCTTGAACTTCTTCTACCTCAGCCTCCTGAGTAGCCAGGGTAGGCCACTTTTTTTTTAATTTGGGGTAGTCAGCCTTAATATTAAGACATTATTTGTTATACCCTTCATTGCTTTCTGTCTGGAATCATTGCCCATTTCATCCACCTTCCTTTAGTACTTTTTCCTCCATAGATCTTCGAGTGAAATTTACTTTGTGATAATGTCTTTATTTTTCTTTCATTTTGAGGGCACATTTTTGCTGAGTGTACTTGTTTTCTGTAGCTGCTTATACCCACAGACTTGGTATGTTAAATTCACAGAAATTTATTTTCTCAGAAGTCTGAAATTAAGGTGTTGGCAGTTGCAGTCTCTCTGGAGGTGCTGAGCATTACTTCCTCTTGCAGTATCTGGCACCCTTGGTCTCCTCAACCTGTCACATTTTGGCCACATCACTCCCATTTCTACTCCATGGTCACATCATCTCTTCTGTTTGCTTTTTGTAAGGACGCTTGTCATGGATATAGGGACCACCTGGATAATCTAGGATGATCTAATCTCAAGATCCTTAGTTCTATCTACAGAGACTTTTTCCAGATAAGGTTTTAGTACAGATTTCAGGGATCTGATGTGATTTTTTTTGGAGCCCACATTTGCCTATAGCCTTGAATTTAGCTTGACTTACTTTCACTCAGACTTTAAAGACATAATTACATTCTGGTTTCTATCAGAATAATTTTTGCTTCTTTAAAATGTGATTTTCATCATTTGCACTTATGAGTACATCCATTGATCTAATCCTGCTAATTGTGCTAAAATTTGCTATAAAAACCTGTGTGTTAAATCATAATTTATTTAGCTTATTTTCTCCCAAATACCAGTTATTTTAAAGACCTTGTCAGAACTGCAGTCTCTGGATCATCTGTGGAGTCTTTCTGTTGTCAGTTTGTCTTTTTCTTTCCTTTTTCAGTCATGTGGTCCTGTCTTGTAGCCTGCCTAAGATTTTCACTGGTTATCACACATATTGTATTACAAATTGTGAAGGTCTAGTTTGTGGCTTTCTTTGCCAGCTGGATAGCATGGTGGTGGTAGTGGTCTTGCTTCCTTGTCTTCGTCCCCACTAATCTCTTCTTCCTCCTTCTCCTGTGGGGT